TATATTAATATATATATAATTAATATTTATTATTTATATATATAATTAATATTTATTATTTCACCTATGCATAGACATATTTATTATTTATAATTAATATTTATAAAAAAAATTATATAAATAAATATTATATTTAAATATATAAAAATATTTTTTATTAATAATTTATTTTAAAATGTTAATATTTAATTTATAATAATTTAATAAATAAAAATTAAATTAAATAAGTTAAAAATTTCTATAAATTTTCTTGTTAAAAAGCTTTTAAAAATAGATGTTCATGTTTAATATATATATATAATCTTTGTAGTGGGTCCTTAAACATCGCCACGCAAGCAACAATTATTTTTGCGGTGATGTCTTTGATAGAGAAGTTGGACAAGTGGTCTATGGGTGGTGCATCTAAAATTACCATAGATATAATATTAAAAACAATGAATGGTTGAGATTGTGATTTAGTGAGAGAATATATTGTACACCTTCACACACAGGATAAAATTTCTGAATTTTTTACTGAAATTTTTTTTTTTAAATTACCTAAAAAAATACGTATTACGATGACTGACGCAGCAACTGTCACTTTCAGAACGGGCCGTTCTGAAACCAGAACGGTCCGTTCTAGATGAAAAAATAACACAGGAATAATGCACCAGAACGGGCCGTTCTAGAAGAAAAAAAAACACGCGATGACTACACCAGAACGGGCCGTTCCGAAATCAGAACGGCCCGTTCCAGATTTAAAAATAACATATGATTACTTAAACTAGAACGGGACGTTCTGAATTCGGAACGGCCCGTTCTGGCTACATATTTGTTTTTTTTTCATTCTACTAAATTACATTTAAAATTTGAGTATAGTTTTTCAATTGAGCGAGATATGAAGCCCCTTCCTCAATGATATCAAACATCCTATGAATAAAGGCCAAAACTAGGCCTAATAAACTTAAAACCCAAAAAGTCTTATACTAAGGCCCATAATACAAGACCAAACAATATAAACTCCTATACTACCAAATATATGAGAAAGGTGGTCATCTATGTAAAGTCCAAGTAAAGAGAACCTTAGGCCCATCAAACCCATTAGGCTCACTAAGCTCAAAAGCAATCAAAAGTCTAAAGGCCCATGAAGCCCAAAGCTAGGCCCAACAAGCTTAAAACCCAAAAAGTCTTATACTTAGGTCCATAATACAAGACCAAACAATATAAACTCCTATACTAAAGACCAAGTAAAGAGAACCTTAGGCCCACCAAACTCATTGGGCTCACTAAGCTCAGAAGCAGTCAAAAGCTCAAAGGCCCATGAAGCCCAAAACTAGGCCCAATAAGCTTAAAACCCAAAAAGTCTTATACTAAGGCCCATAATACAAGACCAAACAATATAAACTCCTATACTACCAAATATATGAGAAAGGTGGTCATCTATGTAAAGCCCAAGTAAAGAGAACCTTAGGCCCACCAAACCCATTGGGCTCACTAAGCTCAAAAGCAATCAAAAGCTCAAAGGCCCATGAAGCCCAAAACTAGGCCCAATAAGCTTAAAACCCAAAAAGTCTTATACTAAGGCCCATAATACAAGACCAAACAATATAAACTCCTATACTACCAAATATATGAGAAAGGTGGTCATCTATGTAAAGTCCAAGTAAAGAGAACCTTAGGCCCACCAAACCCATTGGGCTCACTAAGCTCAAAAGCAATCAAAAGTCCAAAGGCCCATGAAGCCCAAAACTAGGCCCAATAAGCTTAAAACCCAAAAAGTCTTATACTAAGGCCCATAATACAAGACCAAACAATATAAACTCCTATACTACCAAATATATGAGAAAGGTGGTCATCTATATAAAACCCAAGTAAAGAGAACCTTAGGCCCACCAAACCCATCAAGCTCACTAAGCTCAAAAGTAATCAAAAGTCAAAGGCCCATGAAGCCCAAAGTTAGGCCCAATAAGCTTAAAATCCAAAAAGTCTTATACTAAATATAAACTCCTATACTACCAAATATATGAGAAAGGTGGTCATCTATGTAAAGCGCAAGTAAAGAGAACCTTAGGCCCATCAAATTCATTGGGCTCACTAAGCTCAAAAGCAATCAAAAGTCCAAAGGCCCATGAAGTCCAAAATTAGGCCCAATAAGCTTAAAACCCAAAAAGTCTTATACTAAGGCCCATAATACAAGACCAAACAATATAAACTCTTGTACTACCAAATATATAAGAAAGGTGGTCATCCACTAAGACTCATAATACAAGACAAACATTATAAACTCCTATACTACCAAATATATGAGAAAGGTGGTCATCCATGTAAAGCTCAAGTAAAGAGAACCTTAGGCTTTTTAGTTTTGTATTATGGGCCTTAGTATAAGACTTTTTGGGTTTTAAGCTTATTGGGCCTAGTTTTGGGCTTTATGGGCCTTTGGACTTTTGATTGCTTGAGCTTAGTGAGCCTAATGAATTTGGTGGGCCTAAGGTTCTCTTTACTTGGGCTTTATATAGATGACCACCTTTCTCATATATTTGGTAGTATAGGAATTTATATTGTTTGGTCTTGTATTATGGGCCTTAGTATAAGACTATTTGGATTTTAAGCTTATTGGACCTAATTTTGGGCTTTATGGGCCTTTGGGCTTTTGTTTACTTCTGAGCTTAGTGAGCCCAATGAGTTTGGTGGGCTTAAGGTTCTCTTTACTTGGGTTTTACATGGATGACCACCTTTCTCATATATTTGGTAGTATAGGAGTTTATAATGTTTGGTCTTGTATTATGGGCCTTAGTATAAGACTTTTTGGGTTTTAAGCTTATTGGGCCTAGTTTTGGGCTTCGTGGGCCTTTGGGCTTTTGTTTACTTCTGAGCTTAGTGAGCCTAATGGGTTTGGTGGGCCTAAGGTTCTCTTTACTTGGGCTTTACATGGATGACCACCTTTCTCATATATTTGGTAGTATAGGAGTTTATAATGTTTGGTCTTGTATTATGAGCCTTAGTGGATGACCACCTTTCTTATATATTTGGTAGTACAAGAGTTTATATTGTTTGGTCTTGTATTATGGACCTTAGTATAAGATTTTTTGAGTTTAGGGTTTAGGGTGTAGATGTAATTTAGTAGAATGGAAAAAAATATATTATTTTGCTTTAAAAAATTCGTGTGACAAATTTGTAGTTAGAACGAGCCGTTCCGAATTCAGAACGGTCCGTTCTGATTTAATTATTGATGTGTCATTTTTGAATTCGGAACGGGTCGTTCTGATGTTGGAACGGGCCGTTCCGTTCCATTCGTTATGTGTTTTTTTGTCATCTGGAATGGCCCGTTCTGATTTCAAAACGGCCCGTTCCGAGTGTCAGTAGCAGCTGCGTCTGTTACCACGTGTTCTTTTTTTTTTTGGGTAATTTAAAAAAAAATCAGTAAAAAAATCGAAAATTTAGATCCAGAATGGTAAGGTGTATTATGGCCTACTAGTTTAGATGCATCTAAGGGTAAAAACTGATGATGCACCCATAGACCACTTGTGAAAGTGGTCTTTAAGAGAATTTTAAATTCACCTATTTTTGCATTTCAAAGCTAATTAAAGAAATGCACTCAATAAGACAAGGTGATATAGTATTAGTATTGATAATTATTTTTTATCTTTCGGTAAATGTATGTACGACTTTTGTTTTCATTAAAAATATATATTATAACTTTTATTTATACATTAAATAAATTTATTATTTAATGATTAATCGTTATTAATATTTTAGTCTAGACAATAGATATATTAAATATTTATTATATATAATTTAAATTTAAGATATTTGAATATAAATTATATTTAAAATTTGAATAAATAAAAATTTATAAGGCTTAAATATGTTTTTAATCCCTCAAATTTAGGGTATATATATATATATGTAGATCTGTCAAAACGGGTAACCCGGCCCAGCCCGACCCGGCCCACCACGGGTTGAGCCTTTGGTGGGCCAACCCAACCCGGCTCGTTTATTG